TAGCATTTACTATGGAACGACACGATAACTGTGATAACAGCCCTTGAAAAGAAAAGAGAAAATCTGGGTTATGTGTGAGCACTGATGGACAGGAAGCTCAGCCATGGAGGAAAAATAGTTTTGTCCTACTTTCCGAGCAGATGAGAATTAGAGAGAGAATGAGCCACTTCCAATTTTAGGTCAATATTTTCACCAAGGGAGAACTCCGAAATACGTATTATCCTTTGGCATGCAGCACTCATGTCCACGGAGACAGAACATGCTGTGTGACCTCTGACACGTTACTATAACCCTTGGCACTCTGCTAAAATAAAAACCGTTGCCATTGTTTAGATACCAATTAAAATAAATCAAGAGGGGGAAACATGGGATGCAAGGTCGTGTACCATTGGCTCTGAAACTACTTCAGCTCGTATATGGCACAGAGGTACATGAACTATTCACTTCTCACTCCATCTGTCCGTCTGTCTCTCTAGCCACCTATTTAAGGACACACACATACAGTGAATGTACACAGCATTCGTATGTCCCTACAAAATGAAGGGGAAATGAAATACTGGAGTTACGCTGAGCATTTATTTATTTACTGCTGCAAGCTTACAGTTTTCATCAAGAAGATAGTTTAAATGTGTGTGCTTACACTCACAAGGTCATTGTTAATTAATAATTAATGCCCTAGTGACAGGGCAAGGGATCTCAGAGGTTTTTCAGTACACGACTTCCATATCCTTTAATGAAAATACCTCACACTGTTTTTGCAAACTTTGAGGACCTCAGCACACTTGTCGCTTAAGCAAAACCCTGACACTTCATGACATGAATAAAAACATAGAAAATTATGTTAGCAAAGAACAGAAGGTGGAAACTTTGCATGTTTGGAAATAGTTCTAGCCACTAAGAAAGCGTCTGCATGCTCATGATTTTGCTCATGATTTGAAAAGTCATGACTTAAAATCCCCTTGGGAAGCCACCAGGTTTTCTTGTTCTCCACCTTCCTGTGCATGCTAACAACCTTGAATCAAACTAAGATGAATTACATTGGAGACGCCAAGAAACAAAGCAAGAAGTCCACCGCAGATCTCTTTAAAATAACTTGTGGCCGTTTAATGCTGATCATAAGGACTATGTGTACGTGGTGCCCTGAGGGACTTTGATAAACAACAATTCTGCTTTCCTTGTGTTTAGGGAAATCATTGCAGTGTTGTAAGTCAGGCACTTATCCAAAGTGACCGCCACCTTGGAAGTTATTCCAGCCTTAGCTATGAATGTCATTGCTTTGCTGGGTTAAATCAAATCCTTCTCATGCTGATTCAAAGCCAAAAGTACCATGTTTTTTTGTGAGGATACGAAGAATGAGAAATATTTTATTTTTAAAAACTGGGTAAAGGTTGCAATAGATGCATGAGCTGTAACAGAGGATGCCAACTCATCTCTGACAAAATATATGCATTTTGACCTCCCTTGGAGCAACACCATAGGGAGGAACAGAAAACGGGTTGGTGATGGCGTTAAGAAGGGAAGAAGGAAAGTGAACAGTATTTAAGATCCAGTAGGTGCATGTGATACAAGGATTCTTTCCTTCCCAGGAACGCTGGTAGTGATTCGTAAGGAACAGGCACAGAGGAGTTCGTATGGTCTTTGAACAGAGCTAAGGCAGCTGACCACGTTCACGGCAGTTCGCAGCGTCTGCCACTTCTGCAGAGGGCTGGGAGCGGCGGAAAGGTGCGCTGAGCTACAGCAACCTGCGGCCGGCAGGTGAGCGGCAGCTCTCTGTACCTGCTGCACCCAACTTTCCCTT